GATGTATTCAGCCTTACCTGAATTGTCCCTAGCTGTCCTTACTCTTCTTTGATCAGTGATCTACGGTGAATTTCGGCAACAGATCATCGCACTTACCAGTGATCAATCTCTCTCCATACATTTCCACAGATTTTAGCTATATGGAGCTCACTTTGAGCTTCTACATGCCTGACTTTAATGGTTTATTTAGGTGTTGCATGCAGATAGAATATGGCGGGGAAAGGCTCCAATTTCCATGAAGAAAATTCCTTCTTTGACACCATTTATATTTTCTTATGATATTAATGCCTTATTAGTGGGACCTTTTCTGGTGACACGAATGTGTTTGATTTCCTTTTTTAAGTGTTTTTATTTTTAAGCTACTGTATGCTGTTTCCAGCTGGTTTGTTTGATCTATGTAATCTTATGTCTTAGGAGTGAAGGTTGAAAAGTTCTTGCTTTTCAGGACACTGTTTGACGAGGGGTTCATGGTTCATATTTGGGTCAAGGTGGTCATAGTAGGCCTTGAAGAATCCTTGTGACTAAAATTTTTGAAAGTTTTTGGAATCCTAGCCTTGATAGATTTAGCAAGCACATCGATCTATGAATATATATTCCATTATTAAAATATGGTTGAATTTTAGAAGACGGAGGTTGTGTGATGAAGCCCGAGGAATTTTGTGAGATTGCTTGGGTATTCAAATTCTTCTTCGTCTCCGGAATTAGAGTAATTATTACCAGCATCAATCTCTAAGTTCATTCGAAGATCTGTATGTTCAAATCCGACCGTTTTATTGTCCTTTCTGGTAGGTATTTAGTTAAGCAAACTTTGGAGTATTTTTTTCCTGGAGATTCCAATAATCATGTCATGCCATTGTAGCAAATATAACTTTAAAAAACAAGCCATTTTTGTTCCTTTTCATTTTCACGATCATTCCGTCCTTTTCAAACCCTAAACAACAAGCTATTCATAACAAAAATACCATAAACTTGATCTTCTACACCGTTATTTGACATTTCTTTTCCATCATACATCAATAAGGTTTCCTTCATTTGATTTGATGTATGCCAAATTGCCTTAATTTTCTATCATGCTATTTTTTGATAGTGTTCTTATCAGAGTTTGGTACCTGTAATTATTTAAAATGTGTATGTCAGTTGATTAGAGGATAATAATAGAGCTGTGGTTTCCATTGGTAAAAATTAGAGAAGTTTTCTAAACTTGTATGACTTCTACTCAAATAAAAGTTTGCATGGACGCATTTCTTGTTCCTAGCAGTAGAGTTGCCTTCCTGGTTCTCCTGTAGCTGGATCTCTGGAACCACAAGACAAGCTGGTGAACAAGCAAGGCCGAAACCTTTGGTCTGACCCATATAGTGGACATGGGCATGCTAAAGTTACCTCTTCAGCTTCATCTATTAGGATGGCTCAGAAGCATCTTATTATGTTCCTTTGTGACATGTTGTTAGTTGAGATTACTTCCTTGTACTCCTCCTATTGCGGCATAAGGTTGCACGCACCTTATCTTCCCTAGACTCTGCAGTGGTAGGAGCCTTGTGTACTGGGTTGCCCTTTTTTAATCCATTTTGCAAATTGCCTCTAAATGCTTTTGATTGCCGTTCATTTCGTGTCTTTTGAAAATTTCATCGTGTATACAGTATGACAGTGAAATATAATTATACAAAGTATAATTGCCAGACCCAACTTACTCTTTTGGAAAATAAATGTGCCTTGTTGACAGGTCGATCCCCAGACCTTGAATCAGTAGGCTCTGGGACAAAAATGTCCACCGTCTCATCAGGTGGTGGGCCTCAGGATCGAAAGGAGTTTCTTCGTAGATTTGTAGACTGTAAAATTCTAGCTTCAAACCTTGAGGACTGGTTTGAAGAAATAGCTGAAAATTCAGCATACAAAAACACCTGCTTTTGACGTTCCATTCGAGTTGATAGATCTTCAGAAGTTTGATTATGCATTGGAAGGGGTTTCCTTTCAGCAGCTGATTAGAATGCCAAGTGCTGTTTATGCTTCAGCATCTGGTGCCGTGGAAGCAACCACTTATCTTGCTATCGAGGATTTTCTTCATGCAAGTGTAAAGGGCTTGTGGGAGGCATTTTGGAGTCTGGATGAGCCTATGCCTTTTTATGTCCCCTGTCTGTACGACGCAAACTTAAAATTCTACCCCGTTGAAAAAGCAATTGCTAAAGGGAAACTTGGAGGTCTCAGTGCCACGGCTGTAATGTTAAAGAACCCCAGACATCCACATGGGAAGTGGGATGATGTTCTTGAATTGGCACTTCTAAGGCCTGATATTGGAAGTCTCGGGGTTGAGGCTGGGCATAAACCTTTTCTATCAGTTATAGGTGAAGCGCTATTTTATGCACTTCGCGTATTAGTATCAAGAAACGTCAGCAGGTCGAATATTCCTCTGAGTTTGAATTCTGTTTTTGTTCTTCTCGTCGATTCTCAATATGGTGGGGTTGTGAAAGTTGAAGGAGATGTGAATAAGATGGATTTTGATGCAAATAATGTTTATGGATGTGCTGCTGAATGGATTAAAAATTATTCACGAATTTCAGTTTCCCCAATTGATAGGATCTGGAACAAGCTTGGCAATGCTAACTGGGGAGATATCGGTGCTCTACAGGTACTTTTTGCAACCTTTCATTCAATCGCACAATATGCTGGAATGCCCAAGAACTCAGTTGAAGATTTAGCTGCTGACCACAGTTCTCGTCTTCAAACAAGAAGAATTGAGAGGCAGTTGGGGGATAACAGAGTAAATGGAAATGGTGTATTCCGGTTCCAGCAGGGCAGTGTTTCCCCTGAAATTGTTGAAGTCCAGGAGGAATCCCTCAGAATTGAGTCTGAAAAGTCAATGAAACTAGAAGTAGGATCTGTCCTATGGCTGGAAGATTCGAACTGGCAAAAGGGTTATCAGATTACTGGACTGATCAATGATGAAATCTCATATTATATTGCCTCTTCTGTTGAAGATACGGGGAAGGCTCTGTTTCTGTATGTTGGCTCACATCCTTCTCAGCTGGAACCGGCATGGGAAGATATGAAATTGTGGTATCAGGTTCAGAGGCAGACTAAAGTATTGACTGCTATGAAACATAAAGGGATATCCTGCAAGTATCTCCCACAACTGCATGCATCTGGAAGAATAATTCACCCTGGTCAATGTCGGAGACCAAGCTCAGGTGGAAACTGTGATCACCCTTGGTGTGGGACACCAATCCTTGTAACCAGCCCAGTTGGTACGACAGTTTCGAATATGGTGAGACTTGGCCAATTTGGCTCAGAAGAGGCTGTTAGGTGTTGCCATGATTGCTTATCTGCCCTTTCCACTGCCACATCTGCTGGAATCCGACATGGTGACATCCGGCCTGAGAATGTTATTTGCGTGAGGTCTGGTGTGAGGCAGCCTTATTTTGTCCTTGTTGGTTGGGGGCATGCCATATTAGAAGAGAGGGATCGTCCAGCAATGAATCTTCATTTCTCATCTACTTATGCCCTCCAGGAGGGGAAGCTATGTGCTGCTTCAGATGCAGAGAGCCTGGTCTATTTGCTTTATTTTGCTCTGGGTGGGGATTTGCCTGACATGGATTCAGTTGAGGGGGCTCTGCAGTGGAGAGAAACATCTTGGTCAAAGAGGTTGATTCAGCAGAAGCTTGGGGACATCTCTGCTGTCTTGAAAGCATTTGCTGATTATGTTGACAGTCTATGTGGGACGCCGTACCCTCTTGATTATGATATTTGGCTAAGAAGGTTGAGGAGGCATATACATGAAGACGACCATGGGAAGGCCATTGATACATCAAGTTAGGTTTGTTTCCACCAGCTGCAGCGGTAGATTGGAATACTAGTACTTCATGAGATTGGTTTCTACAGCATAACAACTGGAGCTTGTAGTTTGGCTGGGACAGTTGGTTTAAAGTGCCTTTTCTTCCAATTTGAGTGTGTCGACTTTGTCCTCTGGAGCAGCTAGAGAGTAATTTATGTTTTCTTGTTTGATGGTTGGTTGCTCCTTGTTCCATGTTTGCACGGACAAGCCATATTACCTGAGCTTTCGACGACTACCGAGGATACAATGCCCGTTAATCATCTCGTGCTTGTTGTGCATGCAGTTTTGTAGTACTGCAGAGGATATAAATTTCCAATGGTTTTGCCATTGTGATGGTTGTTAAAATGTTGTATCGACTCATTATTTCCTGTAAAGATAGGAGGTGTTGAGATCTTTGTGAGATGTGTGATTGTTTAGTTTGTGGATAATGGCATGTAAGGGGTATTTTGTAAATGGCTTTTGTATCTTCTGCTGTTTCTCTCAGATCCACACACTATCTATTACCTTCCTTTTATGGCCACATGAAAAACCACAAAAAATATAAATTGGAAAATTACTCACCCCGTCGTTGTGGTTTTGCTGGAATGAGATGTTACATATTTCTATTTTTCTTTTTGATTTATTTTCATTAAGGAAAAATACAAAAACAATTAAAAAAAAAAATTAATGTCTAGTTGGACATTTATTCTAGGATTCGTTGTGGGTGCTTTGTTTTTTCTTTGTTGTTGCATGTTTATGCATATTTTTTTAATTTTATGTTATATTAAAAAATACAAAAACATTGAAAAATTAAAAAGAAGAAGATTATTCTCTTGTTTGTTTTTTATTGTTAATCATGGTAATCAATCTTTTGTTTGAGATATAACATATCAATTTTTAAATCAAATTGAACATTCTTTTACATGTCTAAAATAGAAATTCAATACGACATAATTCTATTGTTACGAAGCGACCTAGTTTCATTGCCAATTCAATTTTTTTTTATTATGATATTGTGAAGTAAATTTCATATGCATGTAGTATTATTTTAGCCCATTTTATTAAAATATTAAATTTAAACTTATAAAACTCTAATGCTCCGTTGATAGGAATGATGAAAAGTATGAAGGATGGAAAATATGAGGGATAAATTTTATATTCTTAAAGGATGAAAAATAGGAATGATACACTTCCTTCCTTTGTGTTTGATTGGATTGATGAAAAATAAAAATGACCAATTTTTTTTGTCTAATATTGGAGGTTGACAATCGAGTCGTGTTGTGTCAGATACATGCTGAGTCATAAAATTATGAGCTTTTTATATTTTTTGTTTGCGTTTCAGGTTATTTTCAAATTCGTGTTGAGTTATAATCAAGTTCGTGTCATAAAATTCGTGTTGAGTTCGAGTCGTGTTATCGTGTTGAGTCGAAAATTTTCACCCTTAGTTAAGATGAATTTTTTTTTTAATTTAAAATTTGTATTTGTATTTGTATTTTTTAATTTTTTTAATATATATATATATATACATATTTTATCATTGTATTTTTATATAAAATTAATATATACATAATATATAGACAAATAAGATACATCTCAACACAAATAATTAACTTTTCATTCACTTTCTTTTTGATTTTAGAGGAATTGATTTTGGTGAGTTGGAAGAAAAATTGATCAATTCACTTTTCCATCTTTCCTATTTTTCTTCCTTAACAAACATAATATCCTTCTAACTTTTCGTCATTCTATTTTTTCATCATACCAAACAGAATATAAGTCTAACTAAATTAAAACTTCTTACGGAACTAGAACACGTGCCATTTATGTGCTCGTATTAGAGTGACACGACGTGATTCTAATCCCGTTACAAGGTTAGACAACTTTAAATTTGAAAATCACATAAACTCAAATTTAATTGTTGATGAACAAAATTAATTGTAATGAGAAAGATCTAACGTATACACAAACATAGGCAGTTAGACACCGATTGAATTAAATTGGACCCCGGGAGTCTTCTGTGGGCCCCACCCTATGGGTTGGGGGGGGGGGGGGACCATTCATTTCAATTCTCCGTGACTTCACTTAGCATACTAACATTCTCATCCCTTACCCGCTTTGACTCTATTAGAAGCATTCCTTCTTGCTGAGGCTGGCTGGCTGCTGCCCTCTGCCATAAGCTAAAATTCACTCCACAATAAATTAGCCTCTTAAAAAAAAATACAAAACCACAAAGTTATCCAATGCCCTGGGACCCACTACAATTCGACAACAAATCACTACTTTTGACCGTTTACTTGAACGGTTGATATTGTTCTAATAAAATCAGGGTTGAGACTGTTTTATATTGTCAAAAAGGTGAAATTTAAGTTCTGTATTGCCAAAAACCACAATTGAGAATATAATGTAGGAAATTAATTTTTGAAGATGTAAAATAAAAAATTTAAAATCTTTCAGGGTATAAAGTGTAATTCATCCTAAATCAATAAACAACATAATTAAAATATTATAAACTCTTTGTTTTCTTGTTACTTCTTCCTTATATAGGTCCACCTATTATTTTTTGGGCAACCAATTCAAATTCGAGACCACTTTCTATGTTGGTTGAGCCTCTTGTTCATAATTTTTGAAAAGGAGACGCTCACATATTCTACAGCAAAATTTTCTAGCAATTTTATAGAGGATATATATTTATAATAATAGAGATATAATGTGAGAAAATAAAAATTATGAGTACACTATGGAAGAAGGCATAATAAAAGGGTATAAAGTATAATATAATAAAGTCTTTATTTTTTTGTTCAATCATGATTTATTGTTATAGTAAACAGGTCAAACATGTGTAACACATCGCAAATGGATGATTTTTTGTATAAACTTGAAATACTCTAATCTATTTCCTTATTTAGCGGGTGACACACGAGTTGTATCGGGTAACCCGTCTAATAAACGATTCGTGTATGAGTATGATAGTTGAATTCATTTACATAAGCGAATGGGGTATGAATAGAGAATTTTTTGACATAAACTCATTCCACCCCGACACGAAACCGTTCCACTCGACACGATTGCCAGGCCTACTGGAATCATCCAATTTTCTTATAATTGGATGGTTGACCCCTAAACCACCAAGAAATAAAGAATAATGTGAAAATAGTTGATACTAGAAAATTTTCAAGTACTAATCCAATTTATGCCTAGTTAGCTAATGTGATCACATTATGTGTTGAAAAGGATAACTAAATTATACTTGAAATTAATATTCTTTAAGTACACAACATTCTTCGTGTTGTTTTAACATAATACCACACGGATCTTAAAAAATAAAAATGCACATCATAGGCAGGCATGATGATTATTCTAACAATATAAAATTTGAAAAAAGATATAGGTAATAAAAAAACGAGCTATAAGATAATTTTACGAAGAATTGCTATATTAAATGAAGAGCTGACTAATTATTTCAAAAAATTGAAGGTAATTCGTTAATAATTAGATCACCTAATATTTATTTTTTTGGAATTCATACAAATATAACAGGAGTCTAAGATGGTGATACTTTAAATAAAGTTAAAATATTATTGAAATTCGTGAGCAATTGTTATTGGTTCACAAGGATCTCAAGTTGAGCTTATTATTTGACAACTCAGAAGTTTTAAATTCAATTTATTTTCACTAAATTTGAGAAAGTAGTCGACATAAGTGTGAACATCTTATATATAAAAAAAAAAATTCACAAGACTGTATCATATAGATTAGTATTGTAATGATTAATTAATTACTAATAAATACATGCATGTAATTTTGCTGTAATTTACGTTATGAGTAATATTTAAAATACAATTAATATTATTTTAAGAAATTAATTCCGATTACAACTATTTTGGACATGCCCATAGTTGACAAAAGTACTAATTTTAATTTTTTTTTTTTGGGTTAAATTCTAACAGAAATATCCACACAAAAAAAAAAAAAACAAGCAGACAAACTTCTCTTGCTAAACAGAGTGATTTGCAGAAGTCACTTCACTCTTTCATCCAAACCCTAAAATATATACAAAAAATTCACTTCCCCTCTCTCTCTCTCTCAAGCACAGAAGCCATCAGCCATGAACTCTTTCTCACCAAACTCAGCAACCCAATACAGCAATGGAGACTAACTCAAACAACCCACATTACTGTTCCCAATGGGAAAGGTAGAGGAAGAGCAGTCTCTACCCACCACTGTTGGTGCCCAGAACACAGACCAAAATGCAGAACATCGGTGTAGAGGTGGTGGGTTTGTCAATTTCAGATGTGTCTTGGCTCTGGTGCTTGGTTGTGCAGTCTTGCTCTCTGCTCTATTTTGGCTGCCACCGTTTCTTCACTATGGAGATCAGAGGGATCTGGATCTGCACTCTGAGTTTGGAGGTGGGTCCTCCTCCTTTCACACCCATAGTTAGATTCTCTTGGTTTCTGGGATACAACATTGTCTAACTGAAACAGATCTGCATGTTGTATATATATGCCTATTTGAGTTTGAATTGTGTGTTGTGAGTGGTTTCTTATGGTTGCTAAGGGGTTGATTGTTTGTTTGTAGTTGAGTTGGGTGCTTGAATGATTTGAATTTTATGTGTGAATGGAGCACTGTGATTGTTGGGTTTATTCTTGTTTGAATACCGGCTGTGTCCTTGGCTTCCCTCCCATGAATCAGATAGTGCCATACGTCCACAGCCGTCCGATCCTCTGGAAAGCAATCAAGGATTTATCTGGAGTTCCCAACAATTTAGGTGTACGTTTACAGTGTGTTTTTCTAGAAAGCAGCTGTGGACTTTTGGAGCTTGAATCAATGCGCACAGTTACTTTTTCTTAGTTTTGTTTTCGTTGATATTTAAATTCATTGTATGATCATTAGGTGCTGGAATTGTGTGCGTATTGTGTCCAAAGATTGAGATGAGGAGTATATGGTCAAGAAAGTATTTTATCCTAATTTGACTAGATTGAATGAAATGCTGCAAAATCCAGGGTGAATTTAACATTTTATCTACCATTTTTTATGTCTGATCTTATAAATCTGTCAGGATAGCTCTTTTTATTGCATTACTACTATCTTTATTTGGATTGTACCATCAAAATTAAATGCCTATTAGAGTAGCTAGCACACTCTTACTTTTGATGGACAGGAGTGTGATTCACTGCTCGCGGTGTCACTAAATGGATTCTGTGAGCTTTTGTTTAAATGTCACCCTGGTTAATATTTCAAAAATCATGCATATATTAAAGACAGGAGGATTCTGGTTAAAAAATCAAAAGCAGGAGGATGATTTATCTTGCTTGGGTAGACCAATTGGAATTTTTAGACTTATCAGTTACATTATTTGGTATAAGATTAGAGGGCTTCTAGATTTTTGCACAATATAATGGAAGCAATAATTTCAGTTTGACAAAAAGCTGTATTTGTTTTTGTCATCTTTCTGTTTAATGTTAGATCTTTCTTTTGTAGGATGCTTTTGCTGGCACCCCATGTATTATAATAGCTGGATTTATGTGGATTGTTAAATGGATTATCTAATATATTATTTTGTATTTAATAGATTTTCTTGTTGCTGTTACTAAGTTGTCTCAGTCTTCAGAAAATCCAATTATTCGAAGTCACTATCTCAAGCGTGCTTGTTTATGTATGGAAAATCCAGTTATTCAAAGTCATTATCTCGAGCGGATTGTTTATGTATCTATTCTAAACTTTCATTCTGCGAGAGGTGGCTGTTATGGTCATCCTGATATTATGATCATAAAATTAGATGATTATTTGTTAGTTACATTATTCAGTGCACATGGAGGTTTATAGTGGTGGGTTTTCTAAACTGTAGCTTTGGTCCTGCTATCCTGCCCTGCTGGGTTGACTTAGTGAACTGAACTGCCTAGTCATAACCTTTGTGCAACCAGGTACTGACCCCCTTGTCCTCGAATTCAGGGGCCATCCATATTTACTCCCAACTCGCTAGGGTGATCTCACCTAGTAAGATAGGGCTTAGCCAAAAAGTTGTATAAAGGGGTAAGGATAGTTGATTCAGCAAATATATAGTCAGTTTGCTCTTGTTCCCTTGTGCAAAACCAAAGGGGGACGGACTAGTGCCCTTATTTGTTCTAAACCATGCACATGTAGACTTCTTCTGCTGTTCTTACTATCCTATCTTCATTTACCCTTAAAGGAAGAAAGCAAAAGAGCTTATTTGCTATTATTAAATATATACTATTAGAAAACTATATTCACTAGGTACTTGATTCACGAAACTCCTGTTGCCAGATCTCACTGCACTGAAAGCTCATATCTAATACAATCTATTTTGCCTGCAGTTTTTACAAAACCAATAGAAAGAGCAATCTCATTCCTCATTTCTCTTTCTAGATAGCCATCTTGGGGCTTGCAGACAATGAAAGTGTTAAAGCATCTAACTCAAAACCAAATGAGTGGAGGCTTTTTAAAGCATATAAACTTACCTTTGCTAGTCCTAATCATTTGATGTCGGATACAAATTCTCTTTACACCCTCTCTCATATAGGAGTCGGGATCACACGTAGGGCTAACGAACAAACATATGTAATGAAAAAATTCAAAACATTGGGTAGTCCTCAGTATTCAATATGGGAGTTAAGCTCTCTTTACAGAAAAAGAATTCAAGCTGGGCCTCTAAGGTAACACAGTCAGACAACAAATCAATAAGAAAGGAAGCAAATGAATCTTCATAACCTTGTGCTTAAGTCAACGTATTCCCCTATCCTTTTCTTTTTCGGCTTAAGAGCTACCTCATTCTCTAACCAACCAAGGGTAAATATTTTTGACCTATTAAAAACTAGAGGAACCTCAAAGGCCAATACTTTCAGAGTTGCTAGTATTAGTAGATATCTAGCCAAGTAGCTCCTATCCTAAAAGTCTGTAGGTTGTTAAAAAGAGATTGTTAGAATTATAGTATTAACTTTCGCTTTTATATATCTTCTTCTTGGCAAGTATCTACCTTTGTAGATGGGAGAGTGAGCTAGTATAGTAGGGATATGACTTATACTTCTTGCTTTGAGATTTAGCTTCCCTATTGGGTTTTAGATAAATAAGGCTTCTAAGCTAGGGGAAACTTGAGCAGCCCAACGTGCAACTACCTGGAAAGGTTCAGAACTTGAGCAATTTTTTTAAATACTTAGGTGGGGTTTAAAAAAAAAATTTAACCCAATTAAAGATTAGGTAGTGCTTGGATTGAAGATTTCGAGTTTCGAGACCCAACTAGAATCCATACCTAAACTTAGTACTAGGTTCCCGCTAATTTAAATCCAAAAGAGTGCAACAAATTTGTATTTGTATATACGAAAAGTAGGTACGGTTGGGGCATATTATCATTTTCAAACCAATGCTATTAAACCCGGCTTGATCTGGCAGGATCAACCGGAAATCGGCTAATTGGTACCTAAGCCATTCTGGTTCATAAGTTTGGTCGTCCAAGCAATCCACCCGTAAAAACTCATTTAAATATCTTCCACTTTTAAACCTTGTAGCCAAGGCTTCCACACATCTTATAGGTCACATATCTTGTTATGGGGTTTCGATGTGGGATAGATGCCTTTATGGCTACTATCTTCTTATCTTTCTTCTATTATCTAAACTCTTCTTGAGGCTCATTCTTATGGCTATTCTTTTTAAGTGAAGCGGCTAGATGCATAAGGGAAGTGCACGTTTGTGAGACCTTAGTCGGGATGTAAAGGGCAGCCCTTATCCCATGCCTTCCTAAATAAAGGCATAACTAGAGTCATTTTTTTTATACCTTGTAGAATAACTCTTTGGTACCTATTTTTTCTTTTTTTGTCTTTTTGCTTGGTCATCACAACTGTTTTTCAATTCGTTTGTGAATTTTTCTGATACTTTATTAGATTTTATAGATTGTCTAAGAAAATCAATCAATTATGGATATTTTGTGTTTTTATTTCATCTAGTATTACATAAAATACGTTATTTTTATTATCATTATAATTTTGTAGCATATTCTTTAATACTGTCAGTCGGACCAATTGACTCAACGGTTGAACTAGTGACCCCTTGACCTAGTTTCTATGTCGGGTTAGTGCCTCGATCGGGATTAAGAACTATGTTTTTTCAACCCTTATTTTTCACTTACTCTCACTACCCCTCTCTCACTCTCTCTCTCTCTCATCTGAGATTTAGTCCATCTCACACCTCTCTCATCTTCGGTTCTTGGTCCCTCCCATCCCTCTCATTATCTGGCTCTAAAATCAAATGTTGAATATGATTAAGTTGTCTTCTTACAATAATAGTCTTTTGAGTGGGTTTAATCCTACTATAGACAAGGATCAAAATATAGTTTCAAAACAGTCGAAACATCCGAAACGTTTCCGTTTCTAAGGAGACCAAAATGAATCAATAATGAAATCGAAATTTTAATACTTCAAGGTGTTCCATAATGTTTTTTTATATTTCAATACATTTGCACAATTATTTCAGAATGCTTCAAGGTGTTTTAAGATATTTTAATATATTTCAATCAATGTTTTAAAAAAATAATTCTTAATTTTTTTATTTTTTTTCCATTCTATTTTTAAAATAGGTCGAAACGTTTCTGAAATAAGTTGAAACGTTTTCATTTTTCAGATGACTGAAACAATACACTTAAACGAAATTTTGATCATTGATTATAGGCATATACCATGCTATATCTTGCTCCCAGCTTCTCTTAATATCAAAAATTATATATCCATTCATTTATTTCTTTATTATTTAACAATAGTATTCTTGGGTGAAGAGCAGATTAGATGGTTTTTGTTTATTTCTTTGATAGGCTTAGAATTGGGAGAAAAATTGATGTTGAGGGATCTTTTTATTTTCTTTGGCAATTTATGGTTTCAATATGAATCTAGTTCTGAATTTTAGCTTGTAGTTTGGGTTTGACCGTGGTTCAAAAATCTTAAAATGGGTAGTACCTTGGTTAAAGGATTTAGGTTTGGGTCTAAGTATTTTAAACTTTATGTTGAGCATAGATTGACTTGTTGCCTCGCCCAACCCGTTTTAATTGCACCTCTACTGGAATTTCCTTCTCTTTAGTTATCTTTATGACTAACTATAAGAATAGAAACTTATAGGTTGAGTAGCGCTCAAGGAAATTGTGGTTCTTTCTTACTTTATGCCTCATTCCTTTTGAGTCTTCTTTCTTTGAGTAGCATATCTTAGTCTTATGACTGTAGGTTTAGAGCACACTATGCTCAATTAGAATGTATTAATTCAATCAATTCCAACTAGAGGTGTATTGATCCTCTCGCTATGGTATAAAGTTCTTAAGAGCGAAGTCGCATCTCAACAATGTTACACCATGTGGTTTAGGATAAGAAGTAATCATATCCGATTTTTTCCTTTTATCATTTTGCTATTCTTTTTTTTTTTCCTTTTTTGTGGGAGCTTGATGGGTAATTGCATTTAGCTTTATAGTTGACATGTACTATTTAACAATTAATTGTATTTTGCTGTGGTTGAAGGCTTGAAACATTATATTTGAAGGTAATTTTATTTGGCAAACATGTAGCATTTCTGTCACTTGTCCAAATTAGTGGCAAATGAGAATTTTAATATATCACTTCATTGTAATCGTCACCAATATTTATTTTTAGGAAGTGAGATTTTTTTTAATTTCAAATATAATATTACAATAAAGTGGACAACAAATCCAAACAATAAAATAAATAGGAAATAGATACAATACATCATAATATCATTAAGGGTTAAACATCTGGCACAATGCCAATATTCAATCAATGCTAAGGGAAAATAATGGCACATCGTTGAATTCTTTAGCTACTACCACTCAAAGACTGGCCAAGAACCTAACTTTGTCACTTAACAATGTAACATATTAATACTTCCCTTGAATTATTTTTCTATTCTTTTCCATCCACACCACCCAAGTAATGGCGACAACCATGGTTATTAAAATCGCGATCCAACTCCTACGATTGTACGATCCAAATTTAACAAATCGATTTGGATCATATACAAAATCGTTGAGCAGTAGAATCGATGTGGATCCACATCGATTCTGGATCCAACAAAATTGTAGGATCTCAATCCCAAATATGATCTCACGATCCTACTCTTGCACACCCATACAAGCTATTTTTTTTTACTAATTTTAAAGAAGAATGTGCTATTTCTGTGTTTTCTCTGTTTTTTCTCCTTGTTACAACCTTAAATTATAATTTTTGGATTTTGCAATTACAACCCTACTGTATTTGGCTCTTTTCTGTTTTAGAACTTGAATGTTACAATATTAATGTGAAAGGCCTACCTTCTGAGCTACATTTTCAATTTTATTTGAATTAGCTTTTGGTATCCATATTATATATATAATATGTCTATCATCATATATTTACATTAAGTACAAAGACAAGGTTTGGTTCATTGAAATCTTTGTTGTTGATTGTTTTTTTAGTTCTATGTTCTTTAATAAGTATGATTTTCTATCCGATCCTACAACAACCCCCCCCCCCCCAAAAAAAAAAAAAAAAATCGATCCAAAGTAGAATCCCGATTTTAAAAACCTTGGCGATAACTATGCTCACCCGCAAAATGGATGCTCTCTACCCTTCCCAAATATACCATACTTAAGCGGGGAAATAATTTCTTTAGGCGTTACCCAATTCAAGCAAAACTTCACAAAAGCTTTATGTCGTAATTTCGAAGCTGCGGGACAATGGATGAAGAGGTGATCCACACTTTCACAACTTGCCCTACACATAACACACCATTGAGGAGAAAAACAAGTTTTTGATATTCTCCTTCGCAATGAATCAGAAGTATTGATCTTATCACGAGCCATAGTCCAAACAAACGCCTTCACCTTCATGAACACTTTAGCCTTCTAAATCATCTTATGTAGATGTAGGTTCAAAAATTAAAGAAGATGGACCATCAATAAGCACATTAACTCCTACTAAAGAAAAAAGCACATTAAGATATGATTACATAAGAAGATACTAGGATAATCAATGACCCACAACCTCTTGTCAACCAAACCCGACCCTAGATAGACTAGTTGAATCAATGACAACAAAGAGAAAAGTTCATCCACCTCCCTATCATTCAATGCTCCGAAGACATGAAAATCCCACCCCCTTGAAGAGGAGATGCAATAAACATAAATGCAATGGAAGCCTCTTCATTTTTCGGGACAGTCTAACAAGATGAGAAAAACTCAAAACAAAAACAAAATCCCCCCACATTTATCGTTCTAAAAGCTGCTTTTCTCACAATTCCCCACCCTCAAACCCCGTATAATTCAAGAAACAATTTAAACATCGTGAATGAACTTCTAAAGGCAACGTAAAAACCCTTAACCACCATAATTGAGTCCCACTTCAAATAAGGATATTGCATATATGATGACAAAAAGATGCTATGGAGGTTGACGCCAGTTTGTTGATGTGGTAATTTAAACCGTGTTTCATTTCTTTCAAGTGGGATGTCATGCCTCCAAGTGCCTATGTATGTCTTATGGGGCCTCCAAGTGCCTATGTATGTCTTATGGGGCCTCCAAGTTTACTCGATATTGTAAGAACCACGTGTAAATATTCTTAAAAAAGCTTGTATCCCACATTGAATGATTAGGACCACTCAAGGTTGGTTTGTATAATTGAGGGGCTACTCCACTCATTGTGAATTTGGTTTTGAGTTGGATGCTTTAACATCTCGAGTCAGCACTAAACAACAAGTGATATGGGGCAGCTGACAGTTAATGGGCTCATCATTTATTTGCCTATGTTGTGCTATTATCTTTATTTGAGTATGTTGCTGGGTCTCATGCTTCTATTGTTCTTTAGGCAAATAGTAAATACTGTTGGATTTGATTTACTTGATTTGCAATTTAATTAATGGGTCTGTTTCATGAAAGTCATTTCTGCGAGAATTAGTATAATGTTTTCATCTTTTGGTTTGAAATCTAATTGTTGAGTATCCTAAACAACTGTCAAGTCAATTCTCCAGGTCATGATATAGTAGCAACTAGCAAGTTTTATGGTTGAGAAGCCAATTTCTTTTCTGGAATCAAGCAGGTTGGCCGTGCCTCCAAGTGCCTGTGTCTTATGAGGCTCGTAAGTTTGTTGTGTATTGCAATTTTTGCAAACCATGTGTAAGCATAAAGTCAAACCTAATGAGTGAGTGGTATGAGGGCAGGTGACATAGTTAAGAGGCTCATCATTTATATGTGCTGTTCTCTTCATTGGAGTGCTTTGCTTTGTATTGTGCTTCTATTGTTCTTTATGCAAATAGTAAATATTGCTTGAATTGATTTGCAATTTACCTAACAGGGTCTCTACCATGAAAGACATTTCTGTACAAAGTATAATTTTTACGCATTTGGTTTGAAATCTAGTTGTTGAATATCCTTAAGAACTGTCATCAACTCTCCAGGTCATGATATAGTAGCAAGCTTCATGGTTGAGAAGCCTGTTTCTTTCCTGGAAGACAATATTCTGCAGCTTGAAGAAGATATTTTTGATGAAATAGACGTTGCCATGACTAAAGTACTGTCTCTCCCCCCCTTCTTATCTGTAGCCCAAATCTATTCTTGCCTTTTCCTATTATTATCTAATTACTTGTTTATGACAGGTGGAAATAATATCCTTACAAACTTTAGCCAGGTCAAACAGAACGGAGGTTGTATTTGCGGTTGATTCCGATGGGAAAAATCCGAGGGTTTCTTCAACTGCTCAAAGTTTAATTAGGGCCCCTTTTGAATCTCTGTTTATACGTCAATCATCTCTCCGTTTGACTGCATCTTTGTTTGGGGATACTTTCTCTTTTGAGGTGCTGAAATTCACAGGAGGCTTTACAGTTAGTCCTCCACAGAGTGCGTTTCTTATGCAAAAAGTGCAGATCCTTTTCAACTTTACCTTGAACTTTTCTATTGACCAAATACAGAATAATTTCTATGAACTGACGAGCCAGCTGAAATCAGGGCTACATTTTGCTCCATATGAGGTCTGGAAACATCTTCCATTCAGTTTAATTGCTGTTCCTATGTGAAGAGCCATAATAAGAACTTTGCACCATAGTTATCTTTGGTAGCTGTCCATATTCTCATATAACTTCAATTGTGTGAGCAAGTTTGTCAAAATGTATAGCGTAGTGCGTATCATTTTCTTAAATTAGAGTATTGTATATCATGTATCGTATATCGTGAAATGCATGTGTGTGTAGTTCCAAAACGATACAAATAGTTCAACTTAAAATACATACAAGCTTAAAAAGGACTCCAAGTTTAAAAAAAATTAACAATTCAAGTTTACAACACAATGCATCAATATTAAAATTTAAAGATTAGGAAAATCCAAACAGTCTGTTCTTATAGTCCTTTGAATTTATCTTGATCTTCATTTTCAACAGCATCAATATCTTCATCATCGGATGCCAGCAAGTCTTTACCCCCTCTATATCTTTCAACCTTTCGTATAACCTTCATCCTCTTCATTATTGTTTTTTCAACTATTTTCTTTTCTTTAGTTTTCTTATTTGACAATACATTCTCGGCCCACGTAAAGACAATATAAATTATATAAAATTTTAAAATGATTAGATGAGTCAACAAATTAAAATATATATTTACAAAAATTATGTAGAATATTTATCTTTCTTTCTTTTTTTGTTACTTTATCCTTTTTGAACCTATAAAAAGCATATCACAATGTATCGTATATCGTATTATCGTGTATTGTACGATATGTCATAGAATGATACACTTATTCAAAACGTATTGTTTTACTCCTATGTCAAAACGTATCGTGTGTATTACATGTATCGTAAACAACCATGCTTGTTGAGCTTAAGTTTCTCTGTTTGATATCGAATTGATCTTTCAAATTTTGGAATTCTGAGTGGCATTCTCAAATTTTGATATTGTTGTGCTAATCTGTGACCACGTATACTATTGATGTTTGTTATAAATGCTTCCTTTTGTATTTAATTTGTTTCCGATATTCAGTTGTAAATGTTGTGGTAGCCACATTTTAATCTGCTAGTTTTTTAAAAATATATATGACTTGTGTGGGAGCAAGTGTGTGCATTTGTGCGTGAGATTTTCTAGACAGCGAGGGAGGCATGAAATTCTTATGAAGAGGAATTTTCCTTCATAGTCATACAGGCAGGATTTATATTTAATCTCACAACAATTCTTTTTTGTGCTAGCTCTGAAGTTAATTTTGAACTAAAGTCGTTTTTAGTAACCTAAACATTGTTAAGGTTCAAAAAAAAAAAAACCTAAACATTGTTTAGTATATTCACTATGGGTGAAAGGCATTATCGCAACAATCAAAAAGTTTTGCTTTTTCTGCAGAACTTGTACATTAGCTTGACGAATTTGAAAGGTTCAACAGTGGCACCCCCCACTACTGTTCAGGCACAAGTTCTTCTGGCAGTTGGGATCAATCCTTCAAAGTCAAGGTTAAAGGAGTTGGCTCAAACCATCACTACATCTCATACGAAAAACCTTGGCCTCAATAACACCGTGTTTGGAAGAGTTAAACAAGTTCGTCTTTCATCTATACTGCAACATTCCCTTGGTGGTGGCACCTTGGGGTCGCCTTCTCCGGCTCCTCTGCCAAATCCTCACCACCACCACCACCACCATCACCACCACCACCACCACCACCACCATCACCACCATCACCACCACCACCACCACCATCACCATGATTATTCCCATCTTGCTCCCGCAATTCCACCTGCACCTCAGACTGGGAAAAGTGGATCTGTAACTGATAAAGGTTCACCTGCATCTTCACCAATGTCTGCACCTACACCTACACCTGAAAAGAGTCATGAGGCAAAGCCTCCTGCTTGTCATTTTGGGTTTAGAAAGAGTTCACCGAAGAAGGCAAATAAGCATTCTCATCCAATTCCTCCTGTTGTACCACCAGTTTCTCCAAAGTATACAGCTCCTGCACCACAGCATCAAGTAGAATCTCGGGCACCTGCCTCACAATTAATTCCTGTGTCAAGTCCATTTCCAAATGTAGTTTTTGCTCATGTTCAGCCCCCATCAAAAAGTGAATTCGATGTGGAGCCTCCTGATATAACAGCTTCAGTCTCATCCTCGCCATCTCCATGTGAGTATATCTTCAAGAATATCAGCATTATTTTCCAAATTTTTACTGTTTGGATCTGAAGCAATTGTTGTTAACTTTCCCAACTATGTCAGGAGGTAGGCTGTTTAATTTCAGTCTTTGTTTGGTTAATACATAATTATTTATTGTGGATTTCTTTATATTTTTAATTGAGCAATGCTATGTGCACCAAATCACTTGCAACCGTTGGATCAGTGGATCCCATCACTGATCCAACGGCTGCAGTTGATTTGGTGCATAAAGAATTACCCTTTTTAAATCACTTTTTTTTTTTTTGGGGGGGGGGGGGATCATTGATGCAATTGTTGCCCACATTGCTTCTTCTATCAGCCGTGTCTTTCATAGAAATAGCTTGTTAAATGTTTACCATAGGGCTGCTTCATTATATATATCTACAATGTCTTCTTTGATTGCAATCTTCCCAATGATGCTGTTTCTTTCAAGTTTTTCTTTCTTGATCAAAGCAAGTAGTCCATAAAAACCATTTGCAAAATTATATTTACTTACAGCCACACCCACTTGTAGAATGCCATAACTATAGGAAAACCCCTTCGATTTCTGAAGTCACATTGATACTCCCTAGCAATTCGATTTAAATTTTTACCCATGCCTTCGTACTCATATTGGGTCAAAATGTTACAAAAATTCATTAATTTTCTTAATTGATATTTTTAAACCATCTAGATATAGTGTCATGACAGTTGGTTTTTCCATATTTCTTAGTATTTATTTTGTTTATGTTTTTAATTTTTTAAAATTTTGAGTTAAAGATGTAATCTTCTAATGTTTTGTATTTTGATTTCAATTTTTTATTGATTTGGTTTTTCTTCTAAGTTAGTCGATGCATGGTCACAACTACTTTTCCTGTATAGTAATTTTGGCTTTTTAGTTGTTCCTATTTTTTAAAATTTTTTTGTGAAATGCATTGGCAATATATCTTTGGTGACCTAAGGGTAATAGTGACACCAGAGAAAAAAATCTTTGATGGCATGGCAGCGGTGGTACCTGAAGCAAGTATATGAACTAGATGTTATTGTAGTGATACTTCAGCAAATCAAAGGGGTGGTTTTACTGTAATTTATCCTTTATTTTTGTTGGATTGATCTGAGGCATCAATACACTGTTTTTGCAGCTTCTGCAGGCCTCTTTTCTTCTGACATGTGGGCTCTTCCTCTCTTTCTAGTTCTTGTGTTATGTTAATAGCAGCAGAAAATGAGAAGTATTCTCTTCTACCATTCGAATCACTTCTCCAGCCAGCTTACGGCAAAGAAGTTCTTTGTATAACTTCATCCAAATGAACAGAGCAAACCGAAAGAACTTTGCAAGTGGGAGCAGCGCAGAAAAGGGCGTGCCTCACAATCGAGTGAATGTATGTTTTTTTGTTGTGCTTGTAAATATTTGATCAAGTGTGCAGTGGCAGATGCATTTTCGGGTCGAAGTCATATCAGTTGACAGGCCCTTAATACATTGCTGCTTGCTGCTGCTGTGTATGATTTCTCTTCTGCATAAATATAAGGAGGGAAAACCAAAAAATGTATGAACTCAACAAATGTATCACATTGCTTTTTTGTTCCTAATACCTTTCAAGTCCTTATTCATTTTGGTCTGTTGAATATTCTGAAGTGCTTGTTTGTTCAGAGACCTCAGATGTTGATAATAGGGGATTATGTTTGAAATCTTGTTTTTCAGAGGACAATGGTTATGGAATCAATTTGGACATGAACCTAACACTACCTACATGCATGGGATGAGTACAGTTTTAAGATAGTCTCCGTGTTCATGAGCTGCTGGTTCTGTACCATTATATATGTAAACTAATATCGGTGTGTGCCCTCCAACTAAATGGTATCGATGATAGGGAAGCAAAAAAGAAAAGAAAAAAACAATGTTGATATGGGAGTAAAAAGAATTTGCTACTCTCCGTTTTCTTGCTGTTTCCTTTTATATTATATTTTCCTTCCCTTTTTCCAAGTGGTTGGTTTTGGGGTTGGGGTTGGGATTGGTACCGGCGCTTGTTGATTCTGGATTATGGGTGTTACAGAGGCAGAGTCATTTGGTAGATGGTCATTTTCTGATCTTGACGGTGAAGTTGGTCTCTAATGGTTTTTTATCCAACTTGACGAGAATAGGAAAAAAGGAAGGGGAAGGACATAGAGAAAAGCCGATATGTGCAAATTTTGTGGCATCGTGCCGTTAGATATTTGTTTACTTTCGGTAGGATATTGAAAAACAATTCTCGGGTGGAGTAGTGTTAGCGTAATGTTATAGAAATTTAAAAATTAGACTTGATAATTGTAATCATTGATTTTACAACAAGTCTATGTATTTATTAGGATATATTGCATATTTAATAATTATAATTATCAAATTTAATTTAATAGTATTATTCACAGTTTTATTCATTCATTGACCATCTTTGTCTGGACTCCAACTCCCACGTGCATTATAAGCCGTACAAAAAAGCACCTACACTTATTACTATAAGCCTAAAAATAGTATCTCTTCGGCTCTTCCACCATCGTCACCGTATCTCAGCCTTGCAATAAGAGAATTTAAAGAACCTTGTAATAATGATGAGGGATGATGGCATTGGCAACCTCCTCATTTTCCATTCACACGTTGGTTACCAAAATGTTGATCAATGTCAATACCAATCTAACCATTTATTTATTTTATCATTATTCAACATATAAATTACACTTACAGTTGAGTAAAGATGTACTTTTTCTTCTTCAAAAAAATTATGCAGAGGCATAGGAAGCATGGGGTTTGGCTGTGATGAAGAATTGGTGACAGATATGTTATGATGGAGTGAGAGACCCACCCCTCCCCTCTCCTCCAAAAATAGAAAGTTGTTGGCGCAGAGGTCGGGTGGAACATAGAATACAGGTCTTGCCCAAACTCTGGGAAGAGAGAGAAATTTTTAAAAGGAAGAGAGGTGTCCCCAGAGCTTGGGGGTATGTATTAACAAGGGCGGAGGAGAAGGGGAGGGCTTGTCTTTTAGGTGACGGATTGATTCTCTCTCGCGCTCTCCCGTTGCCGTTCCGTCTCCCTGAATGCCTCACCAGTGTTCAGGGTCTCTCTCTCTCTCTCCACCCCCCTCCCCCTCCCCCCCTCCGGTTATATGTTTAATAGTAGAAATGATAATATAAAAAATCTCTCGCAATTGTGAAGTTTGAAAAGGATTAGATGTATACAATCCTATTTTTGTGACTCGATGATGTACATTATATTTCGGTGATATTTTAGGGGAGTTTTGGTTGCTCTCCAATACATTTGATATGTTTGGAAGCGTAAATTACATTGGGTGTTTGATGTTATTGTCTCTGTTTTCATATTTAGGTTGCTATCATATTTGTCAATTCAATGCATAACAGTCACGGGTTCAATGATTATCTAAAGCCACCTCATGATCAATATGATTACCAAGAAAATTTGAAAATATTCATTTCATGTATAATGTGTCACCCAAAATCTTAATTTTCACTTGAAAAAAAACACTCAAATCGTATTAATTTCTCATGTCGGTTCATTGGGTTCAATTTTTCGCAACTTTCGGCCTTCTCTCCATCCTTTTGTGGGGGGATTTTCTCATCTACTATGGACGTGTTGTGCTAAGCTGTAATATACTTGATTGTTCGTTGTAATTGTACTATGTTTCCACTCTTTGCAGTTAATTGTGGCGACTTTTTAGCGGAGGAGCGAGGGACTAATAGGATGGTATGTTGATGTTTTGTTATAATTAAGTCAATCTAATTTCTAACTTCTTTAGATTTATGAAGGGATCTTTCGTTTCTGTTGTTTTATGTGGAGGGGTCTTGATCAAAGGCAATAAGTGGTTCTAAACTGGTCTGTAATTTGTAGGTGCTCGGAGATTAGCAGAATGGATCCAGTAATTGACCTATGCAAGCTTGTATATGCCAATATCAAGTAAGCAATTATGTCTTTGCTGTTATCAATTTATCATGTACAATTTTGCAACTTCTTATCTGTTCTTATGAGTATTATGCAGTTGTGGAGTTTCATCGAAAGTAAAAATCAGATGAACTAATTGCATGTAACGTCTTCTCAGTTCCATGTAATCTGAATTTGGATAATGATTCTTGCATATATGTGTAATCCATCTTTAATTTTTTGTTTTCCCTTCCCATTTCATGATCCAACATAACCATAATAGCCCAATGACAACTATGAACTGCGATCCTTGTGACCTTTTCAGACAGTTATAAATGAACTTGCATTCACCAAACAAAAAAAAAAGGAATTTATATATCATTTGGCCTATTTTGATTGCTCATAGATTTGTCGTGTCATGTAAATAATGGATTTCAAGAACCATTTTCATATGCAGTTTCCCTTAGAAATATCAAAACATACAAGCTGATGATTTGTAGTTCCAATTACCAGTACTTGATTGTGTGCCAATTCAACATCTTGAAATTAAGACAGGCATGAAAATGCATTACTTTGGTTGTTGTGGTAAAATGACTGACGAAGTTTTGTGTTTGAAAAAATTGCAGACCTGACGTGGCTAATCTCCCAGGGAAGACTAACCCTCTAAGGATCCTTTAAGAAGCTGCTCTTTGACATGTACTCCAGTGATTCTCAACTGCATGAAATACTTCGAGATGGCTGTAGCTGTTGATCAACATCACGGATTCAAGCCATTTGTTCGACCCTCAAGATGCAAACTCCAATCTTACTCTCAACTGGATAAAGCAATGCTCGAATTCAGCCAAGCCAATTTCAAACACTCCCTAAAACATGCTTTTGAAATCACCAACATCCACAGAAGTTTCTCGACCCCGTGCTTATCCCACACCACCAGTGTGGAGGAGGAGAGTGAATGCAATCCAAGAATTGAAATCCTTGGTGGGCATAGGGCCCCGTGGGTACATGCTCTTGTAGTTGAAGTTGCCATAGCAATGACCTCTGGTGTCAATCCGGAGCCAGTTTCAAGTGGGCTAGGCGGTGCCTACTTCCTTCATGCACGAAATGGGGATAGAATAGCTGTGACAAAGCCAATTGATGAGGAACCCCTTGCCATCAATAACCCAAAGGGCTTTGCAGGTCGGATGTTAGGACAACCTGGCATGAAACGCTCCATCAGGGTAGGTGAAACAGGTTTTCGTGAATTGGCTGCTTATCTCCTTGATCATGGTGGGTTTGCAGGCGTCCCTCCTACAGCACTAGTCAAAATTTCTCATGTGAAATTCCATGTAAACACTTTAGAACCAGTTCCCCCACCTTCTAAGATTGCCACACTTCAACGCTTTGTAGATCACGATTCCGATGCAGGAGACTTGGGCCCTTCTGGCTTCTCGGTTTCTTCAGTTCACCGTATTGGGATACTCGATGTCAGACTTCTCAATCTTGATAGGCACTCAGGAAACATACTTGTCAAGCATGGACAAGACAGTTATGCAGTTGGTGCAGCTGAGCTTGTCCCCATAGACCATGGACTCTCCTTACCTGAGTCACTTGATGACCCATATTTTGAATGGCTGCATTGGCCCCAAGCTTCAATACCTTTTTCAGATTCTGAAGTTGATTACATATACAATCTTGACGCATTTAAAGATGCAGAACTTCTAAAGGCTGAACTGCCTTCTATAAGGGAGTCCTCTATTCGGGTTCTTGTGGTTTGCACCATTTTCTTGAAGCAAGCTACTGCTTTCGGGTTTTGTCTTGCTGATATAGGCAAGATGATGACTCGCGAGTTTCATGGAGAAGAAGAAAGCTGGAGTGTACTAGAGAATCTCTGCATAAATGCTAAGGTTTGCTTGAGTGGAGGAGCACTAAATGATATCAGTGCCAGTGACAATGAAGGCGATGAAATAATTGATGAGATGTTCCATTTTGACAGTGAATATGAGGATAGCTCCAATCAAGTCTCAAATGTTCCTGAACTCGTCCAGAGCCCTTCCAAGATACATAGGCCACCAAAAATCCCAAGATTTTTGTCTGAAAGATGGATGAGTAAATTGCATGATGCAGAATTGTCTCATGTAAACGAGGAAGACGATTGTGACTCAAGCACCACTACTGAGGACAGCGATAAAGATGGAAATAATGTAATTGATAACCACAAGGCATGGACCTTAATGAAGAGCGTGAGTTTCGCTGTGCCAAACTATAAGCAAGATAGTGCTGCAGCCATTTCTTTCGGAGAATTGAGTGAAGAGGAATGGGAGCTGTTC